TATAAAATCCATCTCTCCCAGGTTTTTTATTTTAAAACTAATTAATTTAAAAATAATCATAATATATATATATATATATATATAATATATCTTTGATTAGAAATTCCAGCTACTCTTGCTGTGGCTGATATTAAAATTCATTCATCTATTTTTCAAAATAAACTAAAAATATTATATTTAAAATACTTTTTAATAAACTCTATTCCCATACGTTCTAACTATATACCCCTAAAATTGACTCTTTCAAAAAAATAATAAAATAATAAATAATTGATAAACAATCAACAAAAAGTATAAAAAAAATTGATGAAATTACAGAATATAATTATGATATTTTTGTTAAGTTTTGTATTTTTTTAGTTATTTATAATTATGATAAAAACGTGGAGTAAAAATTTTTGGATTTTGGTCAGCATATCTCATAATTTCAAAATTTCATTCTGAGAACTTTAAAAGTAGCTAAATCTCACTTATATAAACTCGTCTTAGGACAAAATTCCACTTACAATAGTTTGTTTTAAATTACCACTATATGTATGAATTTCGTGAATTTTAGAAAAAGTAAGTCTCATTAAAATTTCACTCCGACAATTTTACAAATTGCTAAATTTCATTTCTTATTATTCTGGCTTAAAACAAAATGCCACTTGCACCTAGTTTGATCTTTTAATTACTATGTGCACAACCTAAATTTTATGAATTTTGGAAAAAATGAGTCTCATCAAATTTCACTCTGACAATTTTACAAGTTATTAAATCCAAAATTTCAACGTTTTACTCCGATAAATTTAAAAAGCAGCTAAATCTCAATTCCTATTGACATGTCTTAGAAAGACAAAATTCCACTTACACCTAGTTTGATCTTAAAATTATTATATATGCAATCTAAATTTTATAAATTTTGGAAAGGATGAGTCTCATCAACATTTGAAAATTTTACTCACACCTTTAAAAGTAGTAAATATTACTTAATCACTTAACTCACTAATTAATTTGTTTTAGGACGAAATGCCACTTACACCTAGTTTGATATTATAATTACTATATTTACAACCTGAATTTCATGAATTTAGGAAAAAATGAGGCTCATCAAAATTTCAAAATTATACACTGACAATTTTAAAAGTAAATGTCACTTCTTATTAACTTGTTTTAGGACAAATTTCCACTTACACCTAGTTCGTTTTTACAATTACTTTATGTACATACTGAATTTCAAGAAGTTTGAAAAAAATGAGTTTCATTAAAATTTTAAAAAATGTCTTTGACAACTTTCTCAATTCATTCTCACTTACTGACTTGTTTGTCTCAAGACATAATGCCACTTACACCTAGTTTGATCTTACAATTACTGCATGTACAATCTGAATATCATGAATTTTGCAAAAAATGAGCCTCATCATAAATTCAAAATTTATCTTTGACAATTTTAAAAGTAGCTAAATCTCACTTCCTAATATTAACTTGTCTTAGGCCAAAATCTCACTTTGCCATTACCTCGTTTTGTTTTTCCATTTACCACTATGGGTACTATATGTACAATCTGAATTTCATGAATTTTGGAAAAATTAGTCATCATAATTTCAAAATTTGTCTTTGACAACTTTAAAGGTAGCTAATTCTCACTTCCTATTAACTTGTTTTAGGACAAAACTCCACTTACACCTAGTTTGAACTACAAAGACTACTATATATACAAATTGAATTTTATGATTTTTGTATAATTTATAAATTCAAAATTCAAAATTTTACTCTGCCAACTTCAAAAGTAGCTGAATCTCACTTCCTATTAACATGTCTTAGGAAGACAAAATTTCACTTACACCTAGTTTGATCTTACAACTACTATACATAAAGGCTAAATTTCATGAATTTTGGAAAAAATGACTCTCATCATTATTTCAAAATTTTACTTCGACAACTTTAGAAGCAATTCCACTTACTGGTTTGACCTACAAGTACTATATGTAGAACCTCAATTTTATAAGCTTTGGAAAAATTTAGTCTCATCAAAATTTTAATATAAGGTTGTCAAATATCTCCCTTCCGCCTTTTTGTCATTGCAAAGCATTGAATAAAGAGCAAAAAAGCGGAAGGGAGATATTTGACAACCTAATATTTTACTCTACTAACTTTAACTTGTCTCAGGACAAAATGCCACTTACGCCTAGAGTTTGATCATACTATTACTATATGTACAACCCAAATTGATTTTATGACGGTGTCATCTGTCTATTAGATATTTACCTGGATAACCACCAACATAAATTCAAACAAAACAATTATCAACAAATATCGAACACCTAAACACAAATCAGAATTCAACTTTTTTTTTCATCGGAATCCACAAATTCGATTTCCTCCTGTTCAGGAACTTTGTACAATTCTCTGGACGCATCTTCACATATCGGAATATTATTGATATTGTCAATTATATGATCGTTCATCGGATAGCAAAGGATTTCTGGCGTATTAGGAGCTGGTTTAGGCCTGTAGTACTCCTTAAAATTATTAGAACTATCTTGTTTAAAATCATCCTCATTGTTTGCAAGTTTTTTCTGAAGAACGTACTGGTCTTCTGGTTCCAGTTCTTCCTGTGGTATCTGCAAATAAGGGCCGTTTTTCACCATTTTGGCGACGACTCCTTCGAATTTGGAAGTAGAATCAGGGTTTTGTGGTTCATTTGATTCGTTGTGTAAGGAATTTTTGAAGGATTTGGTATATTGTAAAACGACATCTGCCATATTGTTGGTGGGAACTTGAGAAGTTTCCACCAGTTTGGATTCTAGAGCTATGATGGACTGTTTGCGCAAGTACTCTTCGGTTTTGATGCATTCTTTATCCGAAGACTTTGTTTGGTTTTGGGTGGATTTAGGCAGGAATCTAGAAAATTATAATGGTTATATATATATATATATATATATATACATATATATATATATATATACATATATATATATATATATATATATATATATATTCAATAGATAAGTCCTGGATTTTTTTCAATATTTGATTGTTTCTTTTCCGAACAGTAAATCCAATAATAAAAAACCATTGTTTTTTGAAGATGTTTAATACGACGTTTCGGAACTAGGTACGGTCCATCATCAGGTTTATTCTGTCAAATACAATGTTTTTTAAAATATTGATTAATGTTAATCAATATTTTTAAAAAACATTGTATTTGACAGAATAAACCTGATGATGGAACGTACCTAGTTCCGAAACGTCGTATTAAACATCTTCAAAAAACAAATTGGTTTTTTATTATTGGATTTACTGTTCGGAAAAGAAACAATCAATATATATATATATATACTAGCTGACCCGGCAAACGTTGTTTTGCCATCAAAAATATTTTGCCGCTTTGCAGAATTTCTTATAATATACATGATATATTAATAATAATGTCATATTTTTATTACACAAATTTCTTTACATTTCGATAATTAATTCCAACGCATCATAGTGTTTTGTTTATTTTAATTTTATTTATGTCAAATAGTGAAATATTTTTTTTAATCAATGTATAAATTAGATTTTAGTCTGAATCAACGCAGTACCATTTTCTAAATATATAATTTTTTATATAAATATCAGATTTTTTAATTTTACATTTAATTTAAAAATATTGAATGTCAATTTCATATATCCAATATGCACTAAATTAAATATCCATATCAAGCACCAAAGTAATAAATAATACTATAAAATGACATATTATTTATAGACAATATTTAATGCATATTTTAATTATATTTTTGACATTTGCTAATTCAAAATGGATTAAAAATAATTGAAAACAATGTCATAAATCGGATATTTATGGAAAATTATCGAATAAATATATTTGTGTTTTACTTGATTTCAAATAAAAAAAAATTAATTGCGATGTCAAAATAGATAGTATACTTCTAAAATTATAGTATAAATATTACAATTTTGAAAAATGATCATCCATCATTTTACAGTACGAAAATTGATAAAAAATTAATAAAAGTGCCAAAAATCAAACATTTAATAGATTTGGTCTCGGATTCCTCACAACTTTATCCACGTTAGTTTCAGGGATAGTATGAATATCAATTTATAGTCGAAAATTATATGATATGTCATTAAAACATTATAGATCACAATAAAAAAGAGACATATTGAATTTAACATTAATCATAAACAAAATTTGACAGTTTAAAAAAAAATGAATTTTAACGACTTCAATAAGAAACAAATAAATTAATTATTCCAAGTTATGTTATAAGCAATATTGCCAGTCAAATTATAGATTTAAATTATATCATATTATATTAAATTTCAACCAAGAAGGAAAATTATATTATAAGAACTTCTGCAAAGCGGCAAATATTTTTGATGGCAAAACAACGTTTGCGGGTCAGCCAGTATTATATATATATAATATATATATATATATATATATAGTTTTGTTTATTGGTTTGGATGTTTTGTGTTACCTTTGGACGCAAGGTGCGTACAGTCTCCTATCTTTCGTGGAAGGGTCTTCATTTTCAAACAAAAAGCTGACGAATAATCCGACTAACCAGGTTACCAAAGTTCCTAAACCGCAGTAGTAGTTGAATGATAGTTTGTAGAGCACGAAGGGCTCGTCTTCTGGTGCCACCACTTTTGGACTAAGAAAAAAATAATCAAACCATTACACAAAAAAACTATTACAGATGAATAATCTTAGGGGACTCTGCTATCTCTGCCGTAAAATAGATAAATATCATACTGAATACTGTCAAAATATCTTGTATTTGCTATGCATTCAGGCGTTTTACATATAAACTGCAAAGTCGCTCGTATGTTATGAAGCTGAGTCAGAAAGACTCTGTTATCTAAGATCGTTTTTATGACTTTTGTGCGATTTATTAGCTAGGTTTTTTATCTGACAACTTGAGAAATACGCCCGACTGCACAGCAACTACATGGCTTTTATCAATATTCAGTATGGTAAGTCCTTCATAACACAGCCTTCCGTAACGTTGGTCTGTTATGCTGCAGAATCTGTTCATAAATGTTTTTCCAATGACCAATGGCAAGACTATGTTACGATGCGTTTCTCATATAAAATGGTACTGAAAACTGTTATGTGATTGTGGGGCAATCAGACGTTTTGCACAAAAATACAACTTCCCTCGTATGTTATTATAATAAGCCACAAAGATGCAGTTATAAGATTTTTATTTGTCAGCAACCACAGCATTATCACAGTTTTTATTACCATTTTTTATGAAAACTGCTACATAAACATAGCCTTGCCATAACATTGATCTGGGGTCTTCTGGGTGATTTTTATTCGGAATAGTTTCCTAAACTACTGAACCGATTTTTTAATTTTTTGGCCCATTGTTTACATTTTTATTCAAATTAGGTTATAAGCAATATTAAAAAAATTAGTTCACATTTGATATATTAAAATTTTTAAAACATTTTGGCATACCTCAGAAAAAATGGAATTGTGCGTGTATTTGTGTGTGTTTGTCTTTTGTATGTCTGCATTTTTTCGTCTACGTTTTCGGGCGCACGGATCAACCGATTTGAATGGTTTAAAAAAACATTCGATCCCTATTGATAGGGAAATATCCTGATTAGATTTTGGCAAAGGCAGGTCCAGCCGTTACGGAGATACGGAGCAAAGAGTGCAGAAAATACAAATCGAGTTTTTGAGAGAACGCAGTATCGGAATTGTATGATCTAAAAAACATTCAGTTCGCAATGACGGGGAAAAGTGGTTATTAGTTTTTGGCAAAGGTGGGCCCAACGGTTTCAGAGATACAGAGCTAAATGTTAGAAAAATGGCAGTTTTTGAGAGAACTAACCGTCCGATTTAAATGATTCAAAGAACTTTATGCTTGTTTCAATAAAATAATTGCTTTTGGAAAAAAAAATTATTTCTAATTTTATTTTCAAAAAATATTTTTGTAATTTTCGTTAAAAAAAATAAAAAAATACCTTGGCTAAGCACAGTCTAAGCGCCACTCTGGTACAAATGTTTTTCCAAGTGCGTTTGGACTGTTTATGTACTGGAGCACTTCTCCAATTTTGTGAAAAAACTATTGAAAAATGTGAAAATGTCGCCGAGCTAAGCACAGTATAAGTGAAAATGTCGCACAGAATTATTTGCAAATGCGTTTAGACTGTGACTATACGGGAGCACTTTTTCAATTTTGTGTAAATTAGGCAACTATTTTTTCTTTGAAATTGAATTCGAAATGAAATGACGATTGTCCGACGAATGTTCTGGAGATGAATTGATTTATGATTTACATTCGATTTGCTCAGATATAACAAACAAGATAGCAAAAATAATGAAAGTTACAGTATTTGTAATAATATATTTGAAATCGTTTAAAATTTCTCGAATATTTCATTACGGTACGGGAAGTTCTAGCAATTTGCCTTAAGGCACGATGTCATACACCACTAGTTTTTATTATTTTTGGTCAATTCCTATAAACCTTATTTAGGATTGCACCTAGTGGTAGATTTACGTGCTACAGCAGTCGCGCCTCTTTGGGTCACGGAAATAATTATAATTGAGGTAATAGGAAGGTGGCTATGTTTGCAATATATTCATACCTTATTTTATCATATTTTTTCCCTTACCTGGTATCAATAACAGTGAAATTTCCAGTACAGCCTTCAGTACTGGTGGGTAAACGTGGATAATTCAGTCTTCCACTAAGTACAGCAATTTGGGCACCTGTTGCTATCCATAACATCAGGGCTGAACTTACGAGAGAGCCCCAAAGGGCACCTTTGGGACCCATTTTGGGTACTAGCATTCCTAGGGTGAAGGAGCCCATTGTGGCTCCTGTCGTGATACCGACTACTACTGTAACGATCTGGGGAAAATGAAAACCAAATATAGAAAAAGTTAAAAATTCATTTTAGGAGAATTAGTTGGACTTTGGAAAAAAAGATTCATTTTTTTGAAAAAAATCATTTCGGTTTGGTCAGTAAATTGCTGCTGCCACCTATGGACGCGGGTGTGAAACAAAATCGGTATACAACTTTCAGGAATCAGAGTTGAAAAATTATTTTATAGAAGGATGTAAATATTTTAAGAGTGTCGTTCGAATTAAAATTAACGCAAAAATATGAAATTTTAAGCCAGAAATGTGTCGATCAGTGACTTTGTTAGCAAGTCCATCTCGTGCACTGGTGCAAGTGTACTGATTATTTTTGACTATAAAACTTCTTTATGCGTGACTAGGGTGTAAATCCGTACAAATGCAACGGAAGTGCGTTACGGCAGATAAGAGTTGATAAGATAACAGTCGAGTGCCAATGATTCGTCATTCGCTCTCGATGATATCATTTTCATACGGGTCGATTGTGATTAGTCGTCGTGTATGTGAATAGAATTCTGTCGAACAAGGAAATCGGCATACATAAATAAGTATTTTAAAGTTACGTCGTAATACAAATGTTGATTTAATGAAAAATGCCTGAGTCAGAAGAATAAATTACCCTGTTCCTTGAAAATAATAAAACAAATTAAACATTTGTGCCGTGTACTAAAAGTAAGTTTATTAATTAGAAATTATTTCTATGTTATTCATAGTTTCTATAAATCTTTGAAGTTATAAAAATGGAAAATATTTTTAGGCAAGACAGATTTTGCAGCTGTTCAAAGAATGAGATTATATCGCCAGTGAAAAAGTAAAAAAATACAAGCAGTCAATAAATGTATGTTAATTATTATTACATGAAGTTCTTCAAACACAAATATTATATGATAACGAGTGAAGTTGCAAAAACATTTGTTTAGGCGTTGTTTAACATAATCCACTGTGTGAACGAATATTATAGAATTTATTAACCAGCAATTACTTTATTTCTCTAATGAAGGTTCATTTCTGAATGCTCATTACAATGACAAACCGATCAAGTCATATTTGAAATATAACTTTGATTTCATTAGTGTTTTTAAATATTATACATATTTTTAATGCTATTATAAATACATAATTTGTAATTTATCATTATATGAATGTGTATAATGGTTGACACTAATAAATGTATTACGATCACGAGTGTTGCCATATTACTAATAACCATCATTCAAAATTGCTTTATGATGTATTTATTTTTACTTAAATGCCATCTTGTACAGTAAAAAATAAGTTTTACTTCAATCTCATGTGAACCTTAACGCACTCTTTTTTTAAATTATTGTGTTTTTCTTTACCTGAAGGATGTGTTCGAATTGTTCGACGACCAAGCCTCCCAAAACACAATAGCAACCAGTGATAAAAACTACAGATTTCATAACCAAATTAGCCCTTCTTTCAGTATGTTCGAAAAGATTCAGTCGTCTTATGTAGTCCTCGTAGATTATTCCGGACATTGAATTCAAACTGGCTGACATTGTACTAAAAAATAATACAATTAGGTTAAATATATAGATATAGTATTAAATTATTAATTGACATTTATTTGATGTACGAACTCTAAAAATCATCGTAACCAAAGATATTGGATATCTAATGGTTACATTGATCACCAATTAAATTAATCAGAAATGAAAAAAATGTGACAAATCTAAAAATCACATATTTTTGGCCACTATTTTAAACGTTCTTTTACATTTTCTGAAAAGAATGCATTTGAGTTCTTACAATATTAGGTTGTCAAATATCTCCCTTCCCCTTTTTGTATTATAAACCAAGAGCAAAAAAGCGGAAGGGAGATATTTGACAATTTAGAGTTTTGTTGTATAGTTTAGCATTCTAAAGATTTACTTTAACATTTGTCTCGATGTGATAAAGATATTTTGCTTCACATTCTAAAAGTTGAGCTAATGATTTATTGACATGACAATTTGTATAAATCTAATGGTAAATTTACGTGCTACAGTCGTCGCGCCTCTATGGATATAACGAATGATTTTGGTACTTTATTTAATAGATAATTAATTAATCAACTATTGCTTATCAAATTCTTGTAATTGCACTCGTATTGTTCTAAATTTACCTTAAGGCTGCACTAAAAACACATGCAATAAACACTCCTGGCATTCCAGGTATATGGCCAACTGTTTGGGACACAAAATGGGGCATCAGCTGGTCGGCCTTGTTAACAATCTAAAAAATATTTTTTGTATTAATATTAAAAAATAATATAAAAACGTCAATACCAAAACCAATATGCTTTGGATGTGCCGAACCAAAATTTTCATATACTACAGTCAATGGAAGGTTTTGGGTCTGAATTTTTATACTGTGCTCTAATTTGCATGAAATTTTGGAATTAGGTTTATCTTACCCTCCTAACCATAACATAACACTGGCACTTCATGTTGAATTTAATTAATTCATTTTTTTATTATTTAAGATATCCAAAATTGCATCTTAAACTTCTCCTAATCGATATCGTGAGGGCCGAATTGTATGTATTCATCTTTACTTTCCCATTTGTTGTTATAAAGTGAAATTTTTACGAATTTTAAAAATATTGTGGAAAGGTTAGTATAGGATGCAAAGAAATTATACATTGACAAAAAAAACTATATTGAAAATTTAATATCCGAATCTTGTGTTGGCGCCCCCTAAAGTGTGCGCTCGTATTTTTCGCATGCATCGTATTAAACGTAGGACCGGCCTAGATTAATATTGAATTACATATTTTAAGTGAATTAATTTGTCATATTGTTCATATATGTATAATTCAATCTGTCATACATATACTGTATTTTATATTATTTTAATTTCTGGCACATCTCAACTGCTTTTCGGCAATAATAATGTAGACATTTCATTTTTCTTATACATAATAATAAATTTATTATACATATTCTAATATTGTCTAGGTTCATAAGTAAATTGAAATATTTGGCAGATGATAGTTTTCATTTGTTTTCAATGCAAACAATGACATATCGTTTTTGCAATTTTACCATTTATATCCACAATATTGCACATACATCTCAGTAGTTTATAATCACATACATCTTAGAAAATTTCCTTAACAAACTTTAGAAAGATTTATCAAAATCCGCATAATCGTTTAAAAGGAGTATACAGTTAGTGCTTGTAATTTAATATGAACTTTATATAATAGCAATAAAGCTCAAATTGATTCTACATTTTAGTTAGAAAACGTTTGTATGTGAAAAAGAAAAGGGCTGTTTTTAGGTTTTTTTTTCGGCAATTATTCGATTTTTTCCTCGCGGTAAAGAACCATCCTTAGACTTGAGCGAACATTTTAAAAAAAGAATTGGCCAAATTGGTATAGGCATTGTTGAGTGATGCGCTTACCAACACATTTTGCGATTCATTTTTATATATAAGATTTCCTAATTGAATATTAATATATTTTCTATCTGATTTTTTACAACTTTATCTATCTACTTACCCCGATTTTCATTGGGTCACAATCGTGGTAAGTGGCATACATGATGAATCCGGTGTAGAAGTTCAGGGACATTATTACAAAGAATCCGACCAGAAACAGCCACATGGCCCTAGAAAACATAAAAAATGAATACATCGTTTTATTTTAATTTTTATATATTTTTTTATACTTTTGGGCGTGTTTCATACTCGGCAAAGCCACATATCTTTGGACGCAACTTTGGTTCAGGCCGACGTAGGCGCACCATAAAGTAAAACTGCCTGTTGCAGTGTTCCAAATACTTGTTCTGGCTGTTAGACTTGGATCAGTACTATAAATAGAAAAGGAAATAAATATATAAAAGCTTCTGCATCATCATTTTTTTAACTATTTAAAACAAAAACAATTCGTCTCATATCTCATTTATCCTTCTTTCCCTAAAAGTTCATTGCTACAATTTAGTCATTCTCATTTAGTCATTGTCTAGAAAGACTGTTTGCTCTACTTTATCAGTTTTTGTTCATCTTTTTTATTATATACTAGCTGACCCGGCAAACGTTGTTTTGCTAAGTAAGGTATATTCTATACAATTTCTAGAGAATCGAAAATATTAATACTTTGAGTGTATAAGAATGCGTTGTTTGAATGCTATATACAAATGAGGTATTATAAAAACAATAAACCCCATTAGTTTGTCTATATTGTCAATACAATCAAACTGGAAGTTTTATACACTTTCTCAGAAAACATGGTATAATCCAATCCAAGTCTTTCTTGGTCTTTCGACTTATTGATAACGTTTTAAGTTTTTCAGATTCTTTTTGGATTCTGGATTTTGTGTATAATTGTAAATAATACTACTGAGCTTATACAAAATTTTTAATTTTTTGCGAGGAGAGATAGAGAATGAATCAAGTATTTCTTTTTTGACCTGCTTTTTGAAAAGTTTCAAGTAACGTTCGATGAATTAAAGTTAATTTAATAAAAAGTATTTATGTAGAGCAGGGCGAGGCACAAAGATCCAATTTGACTTTGAGCAAATATTAATTATATTATAAAAATTAAACCATAACAATTATATCACAACAAATAACACATTTCAAACGAACAATTATCTGACTACGTGCAGTAAACTGCCAGCCACTTCATTATTGTAGAAATGTGCTTTTTTGATGTCTTTCAAGAAAAATTTTAAAGGTATTTTACAACAGAATTACATTTTTAACTAATGCTAAAAAAGATTACCGTTATAGCTGGTTTTACATCTTTTTTCCTCTACTTTCAAATATTGTTGTTGAAAATCAAAAAAATTTTTGACACATCGGTGGTGGACTTTTTTAACCCTAGACTTTCATATATTACTATCTATTCTTCTGGAAAATTATAACTGGAAAAATGTTATTCGACAAAGTGTCCATTTGATCGATACCAAATTTAGATTCTGAATTTAAATATCATAAATAAAAAATAATTTAACCTAGAAAATGTTTTATAAATACCAATGAGTATATAATTATATAAATGAGATCTTTCAGAGCACCGTGTTTAAGAAAAATACGCCAAAAAGTGCATTTTCATATTAACATAAAATGTTGATATTTTGAGTCTCTAGTAACACTTGCGGCCCGTTTACTAACGTTTTTGTATATAAATAAAACTACAAACAAAACTACTTACTACAATTTAATCATAATTAAATCATATTCACGTAAAACATTCTGTTAAACGTGATTGAACATCATCTGTCAAAAACGTTTGACATTTGACGTATTAGCCACCGTCCATAGTTTTATTTGAATTACGCTCCTACAAAAATTTTAAAATAAAAAATGTAAAGTTTCTACGCGATTTTGAGATAATATCTCACCTTTCCGACAACCTACTGATTAGCACGAATTTTTCAAGACTAACACTGGCCAAATCGGTTTAGCCGTTTTCGAGGTTTACCGAATCATTTGATCGAGAGCTCCATTCTTATATATAAGATAACATATTAGAGCTACATAATCATGCCAAACTTAATACTATTTGTAAGTCCCATGTTTATTTGTCTTTCTTTGTGTAAAAGTTCATAGTCAAAGTGAGTTTTGTCAGTTGACTTTATAAGACAATTTGCCCTACTTTGTCATTTGTTATTTATCTTTCTTCAATATTGCTTGTTTTATATTTACTTGAATAATATGACTCTTCCTCCTTCGTTGGCAATTCTCCAGACTTCTCCCATGCCTCCAACTCGAATTACGCCCAAAATGGCAACAGACAGGCAGGAGGTCACCATTACTCCTGCTTGCATCACATCTGTCCATACTACTGCTTTTATACCGCCCTATAAAAAAAATAAATAAAAATATAAATATCAATAAATAAAAAAAAAATAAATGTAAATCAAATGAAGAAATTAGCAAAGATTACATAAACTTAATGGACGTTGCAACGTAAATTTTAATGGAAGCGTAGATACTAAATTTAATGCAATTTTTTATTGATATTTTAATCGAGATTCAACGAAAACTTTGATGGAGACTTTGATATTATAATTGTAATGGCATTGAGGCTTTAGCGGAGTTTTTAATTGAGTCTTGAATGAAGGCTTTAATGGAGGCTTTGTGACCTTAATGGCGGCCTTGAGGCTTCAATGAAGACTTTTTGAGGCTTCAATGGAGGCTTTGGGGCTTTAATGGAGTTTTTTCAACTTCCCGAAGGAGAAGTTTATGTTTTCATCAAATCGCTAATTTTATGTTTTCTCGACGTTTCAAGACATTCTGAATCGAGTGAGACTAAATTTGGAAAAAGTATGTGTGTGTGTGTGTGTAAACAGATTTTTTGCTGTAAATCGACGTTTTCTCGAAAATGGCTGGGCTGATTTCAAAAATTCAAAATCCATTCGATGTTTTTCGTCCACGTTTTAACCCGCAATTCTGAACCGATTATGAAAATTCAAAAACCGTTCAAAAGATATTGATTGGGAATCGTGCTGATTAGTTTTTGCTAAAGATCGACCGGGCCGTTTTCTTGTAATAGTGTTAAAAATTTTTTTTTCGACGATTTTTATTATTATTTTTTTGACGGTAGATACCATAGTCTTCTAGATCATACTAAAATATTACGGCCCTACGACAATTAGTTTAACTTTAAAAATTCGTCAAAGTGTGCAAAAATCGGTATCGTTTTTTTGGTATTTATCAAAATTAGACTTTTCATCGACGTTTTCTCCAAAACGCCTGAACCGATTTCAAAAATTTTTAAAGCCATTTGATGTATTTCGATGGCTATCGCTTGTCAGTTTTGTGCGACGATCTGCCAAGCCGTTTCTTTGTAATTTGGAAAAGTGTTAAAATTTTCGTCCACATTTAAGCTCATACTACCGAACCGATTTTAAAAAATCAAAAACTGTTCAAAAGATATTAGTTGGGAATGATACTGATCAGTTTTAGGTGAAAATCTAATGAGCCGTTTTCTTGTAATTAACTGTTGAAAAAAAAATTTAAGCCGATTTTTATGGAACTTTTTTTTGACGATTTATATCATGGTCTTATAGAACATACTGAAATATTACGGTCTTACGACAAGTAGTTTAATTATAAAAATTCATCAAAGTTTGAGAAAGTGAGTAGTTTTTTTGACGTTTATTAAAAATAAAATTAGATGATTTAGTTGGTATAACGATAGTGTACTTGGTCTTGAACATACTAAATCATTAAAGTGCCACGGAAAATGTTTTAAATATAATTAATGATTAATTAAAATGATTGATTTTTGAAAATTTGCTTTTAGAAAATACTCCGTTAAGTTTGTTCGTTCGTTTGCAATGATGTGTAATAAATCCACTCGGAATACTTATAATCACTCGTAAATTAATTTATTTTCTATTGATTAAGTGGATTATTTACACATTTCGGGAAGTTCATGTAACTTGTCTCAAGGCTAAATACCAAAACCAACTAATTTAGTAATTACTTTAATCGGAGTTTTAATGGAGTCTTTGAAATTTTTTAAAAGGAGACTGTAACGAGAATTTTAAAAAAACTTTCACGGAGACCTCAAGGCTTTAATGTAGTCTTTAATCGCGGCTTTAATGAAGACTTTGAAACTTTTTTGGGGTTTTTAATAAGTACTTTAGGCTTTGAGACTCTTTGATGGAGACTTTGAGATTTCAATAGAGACTTTGAGATTTTGTTGGAGAATTTGAGACTTTCTTTAAAGTAGACTTTGATGGGAACTTTGGGACTTGGGAGTGTTTAATTGGTTCTTTAATGCAGACTGTAACGGATACTTTCATGGAGTTTTTATTGGATATTTTAACAGCTCCAATGAAAACTTCAAAATTAGGCCTTCAATAGAGCCTTTGATGGTGACTTTAATCGTGGTCTTGATGAAGACTTTAATAAAAAAAAAATTATACTTGAATGCAAAATTAAATATATATAGAGAGAAAATTGGCAAAAATCGAGAAATGAATAAAAAAATGGAGTGAAATTGAATATAAATATCATAGAAAAACTCAAGAAACTTTGTAAAAATATTAAATAATAGAAAAATTGAAAAAAAATGGAAGAAATAGAAATACGTAATTTAAGTAATTCAAGGAGAGAACTCATTTTCTTCCGAAACTTTCCGTGTATATATATATATATATATATATATATATAATTTCTAAAGTTTAAGGTCGTCCCCGATTGTTTATAAAGCGATAAAGGAATGTTAATGAAATTAAAACCGTTTAATTAAAAATAATTACTACAATACGCAAAATGGGAGCCCCGTCATTGTCATTTTAATATAATAAATAAGATAAGGTTTGTTTGCCTTTTGATGTTCTTCTGTTTGTCATGGAAATTTTAATCGTATATAAAATTATATATATATATATATATATATATATATATATATAATAAATATAAAAATATAATTCTTACCAACATGGTGTATAAAACGCAGATCATACACACCACTGCATTTATGATATGAATATTAATATTAGTAACTGAAACAAAAAATAAATTAATAACTATTAATTTCAAATATCATTAAATAATAAAAATAAACTATTAATTTATATTTTTTTACCTTGAGCGAATGCCAAAGCCGGTACAAAAATCACAATTGGCAAAACCAAATATAAATTCAATATAAACATGGTGCAAATTAATTCACGAACTTTGGAGTCGAAACGCATTCTTAAATACTGAAAAAATAAAAAATAATAATTAATTAGAAATACATGTTAAAATATATTGTTTTAAGCTTTTTTGTTTGTTTTGGTCTATAAAAGTGCCAGAAATGGGAAAAACTTGTTCTAAAGTATAAATAGACACTGTAATTGCTATAGTTCTTCTTATTCATAATATATAACAAATTACTGCAAATAGTTCAAATATAATATTTTATTTTACTATACATAATTTTTATTACGATTTGCCGGTGCTTCATTCTAATGTTTTTTGTTTGCAATGATTTTTTAGCACTTCTGTATTTTAAAGCATTAATTTACATTTTTTTACTATTTAAAGTAGAGAGTTTATTATCTTCATCACACAACATATTTCAAATCATTTTTTTCTTAGTTTAATTAAATAATTTGAAATAAGGTCTAAAAATTAGATCTTTGAAGCGAAACAAGAGGTCTTTAAATTTTATTTGTTTTGTAATACTGTAAACTAGTCGTGCAGATTTTTTATATAGAAAATGACTTACTTGTGAAAATCTGTGACTATATAAACAAATAAACTAGTGGTGTATGGCATCGTACCTTAAGGCAAATTGCTGGAACTTCCCGTACCGTAATGAAATATTCGAAAAATTTTAAACGTTTTCAAATATATTATTTCAAATACTGTAACTTTCATTATTTTTGCTATCTTGTTGCAAATTTGTCTCCGGAACATTAACAATCGTTATTTCATTTCGAATTCAATTTCGAAAAAAAATAGTTGCCCAATTTCCACAAAATTGAATTGAAGTGCTCCCGTATAGTCACAGTCTAAACGTATTTGCAAATAATTCTGAGCAATATTTTCACGTAAACTGTTCTTAGCTTGGCGGCATTTTCACATTTTTCAATAGTTTTCACAAAATTGGAAAATTGCTCCAGTACATAAACAGTCTAAACGCACTTGGGTAAACATTTGTACCAGAGTGGCGCTTAGACTGTGCTTAGCCTGGGTAATTTTTTGTATTTTTAATCCAAAATTACAAAAATATTTTATGGAAAATAAAAAAAGATATAATAATTTTTTATCCTCAAAACTACTGGAATGTAAGTCGTCCAGATTTTTTTTATAGAAAATGACTAACTAGTGTAAATCTTATGACTATATATAAAAGAACAATTTATATTTTACTCACATCATAAGCATTTGCCAAATTCAGACTATAAAATACTGGTATAAATATATAAACCACAGCCACAGTTACTAAAATCATTACGGGCAGCAAAATTGCAAATTGGGACCCATAGGCGTACATCTCGGCCGGCAATGACATTATCGAAATTCCTGACAATTGACTGAAAATAAGAAATAAAAAATAATTGTTAATTCTAATTTACTAAAATAAAGGAGGTTTTATTCTATTTTTTTACCTTGCGACCAAAGAAATGGCAATAGGAATTGTCTTCATCTGTCTTCCTCCCAATAAATATTCATCAGTAGAATCTGCACCTTTTCCGAAGAACCCAAAATAGACACCAATTGATAATGACAGGGATAACATTAGGCAGAAAATTGAGTAGTCGGCGGCACCAAATTCGGCGCCCAAAGACGATGTCTCGTTGGTCAAATTGTCCATTTTTGGGGCTAAAATTGTAATAGACTCGAAAATGATTTTTTAACTTCCTGTAGGGTAAGTTATAGTAATTGCTAAAAAATCGAAAATAAAAATTTTTATATATCTTTAATTTTTTCTTCAAAAATGTTAATCGTTTTTAAAAAAATAATAATTTTTGGTACGGGAAGTTCCAGCAATTTGTCTTAAGGCACGATGCCATGAACCCCACTAGTTTTTATATATATTTTAACGTTTCGAAGGTTTCTGAACATTTTGGTATATCTTAGAAAAAAATGGATGTATGTGTTGAAAAAATTCAAAAAATATATTTTTTCAACAAATTCATTTTTTTTTCAAAAATTTTTAAATATTTGAATTTTTCAAAAAAATTTAAAGCTTTTTTTAAAAAAAAAGTCATTCTGAATCGTTTGACACCAAATTTGAAAAAAAAGTGTGTACGAGTTGGTCAAAATTTGCTCTCTAGTCTACGTTTTTTTTCAAAAAACATAGTTAAATCAAATTTAAAAATTTGAAAGCCATTTGATGAAACTCAATAAGGGCTCTACATTATTTTATTGATATTTGGGTTAAAATTCTAATGCTCGATTTTGATTAAAAATTTTAGTGTAATTTTGACATACTTTTTTGTGGCAGCATTAGATAAGGTATTATTTTCTATTTTATATTTATTTATCTACATATAATAAAATTTATTAAAATATCTTTTTTTTAAATTTACATACATACTTTTCGAGATTTCTAGAATTAACTAATTATACAAACAAAATTTCTTATACTAATAAAAATTCGTCTTATTACTTTCAATTTTTTATATACTCGTATAGATGAATTAATCTAAGTTTGTTTGTTAACTTCCCAAAGAAGTTTTTTTGCCAAAAAAATCCGATTTTCTGGACGTTTCAAGTCATTCTGAATCGAATGAAAACAAATTTGAAAAAACAAGTGTTAAGTACGCATAATTTTTCTAAATTTTGTCTCAAACGATTCAGAACGACTTGACACGTCGAGAAAACATAAAATCACCAAGTCGTTTTTTTTGGTGAAAACAAACTTTTTTTCCGGCAAATTAATAATAATATATTAAATAAACTTTCAATTCAAGAAAAAAAAATCATGAGCATCAAAAATGTACTATAAAGAAATAGTTATTGCATAATACTTACTTTTTTGTTCTTTTTAACTGTTTTTAAAAAATGTCTTCACTTTTTTATTTAATATTTTTAAATTGCACTATATTTAAAATCAACAGCCATATTATAAGTTCTTTTATAAAAAAATATTAGTAAATCAATTTTAATAAAAAATATAAACAAAATACAAAATGTGATAAATTTTTGGGTTAACTTTTGCAACTTTTAAACCACTATATAATTAACAATAAAATATTTTAACAGTTTTTTAAATAAAAACTTTTGATTTATTAACCTTATATTTATTTTTTATTTATTTTTGATAAATTTAACTTCTAATTTTCGGTTCAATTCGAATATAAAAAAAATATTTATATTTATAAAATTTTAAAGTAATTGTTTATAATCAATGTCTTTATTTGAACTGTTCTCTCATTTTGTTCGATATGTTATCTGAAGAAAAAATATTTATATAATTAAATATATATATATATATATATATATATACAGCTTATAACAATTTAATAATTCCTAATAAATATAAATAATTGTAAAAACTTTTCACAAACATATACACCTGAAGTGACATTTTGAATGAAATTTTCAAATACTTTAATGAAAAAACTATTTTAATTACTTTAAAAATAAAAATGTTATATATAACGTAAAATTAATTTTGTTACTAATTATAAAAATATACTAACAAAAATTATCATTTATTAACTTCTTTTCTAATTTGTGTACCTTAAAGAGTACTTTTTTTTTAATAAAATAGGCATATGCACTAATTGTTTAAAAACTTGGTGATACTTATTTTTAAGCTTCAAAACTTAAATTTTTAATAATTTAATATTAGTACTAAATATTTTTTAATAACTATCAATTTAGTTCTAGCAAATTAATGCAAAAAATATTTACAAGCTACCTTTTCTAATAAAATATTATTTCCACACTTTAATATCAAATAAAACCTCATTAAATAATTTTTAAAGTTTAAATTTAAAGTCTGTTCATGATTTAGGTCTGTTTAATGTTTTTTTATATTTGAAATATTTTTTTTTAATTTAAAAAACACTTATCAGAACACTTTTGAATAATCATTTGAATATTTTTGGCCCACAGATGTAATTTGAAGACATTTTGTCAAATCATGTACTTTATCTGGCTCGTTTTTGATTTATTAGTTTATTATATTTATTTTACTATAAATATAACGTTTATTGTGTATATATATATATATATATATATATATATATATATAAATCTATTCTATATCTTGTTCAAACAAAGATTACAATTTTTTCTAAAAATCATTCCTCGTCTATCGTAAGATTATTTTTGTAAATTTTATTTATTTTAAAAGTCGTCTAGATTTTATTTATCTAAAGTCTCAGATAACTTTTTTTTTATTTATAGTCATTCAGGTTGACTTTATGATAATTAATTTTGAAGGTTCCGTACTAAATTGTTTAAATTAAATTAATAATTATTTATTTGTAGATTTAGTTTTTGTACTTTATTAATAATGTAATTATATTACGTTCTTTCTGGTATATTTTATTTTGCTTGTTATTTTTAAAAATATAATATATCCATTGTTTAAAAAAATTTAAAACCTGTTTTCATGATTTTATTCGATAAAGTATTTTTATAAAAATTAATATATATTTTAAATAATAAAAATAAACATCTAAATATGTTTTGTATGTGAAGCAGCAAATTTAAAATTTCTTTTAATATTGGTAATATTGATAATATAATTTTATAAATTTATTACACTCTAAAATTAAGTTAAATATTAAAAATTGTAAAAAAGTTCTTGCATATTAAACCAATTTTGAAAATATTTGCATTAACTAAAAAATAAATATTTATATATTCTCCATAAACTATTTATTTACAATAGGAAAATCATAAAAATCATCAAAATGAATTTTCTGTAAAAAAACTAAAATAAAAACAAATTAACATACAGCATAATATTTATTTAAATAATTTTGTTTATATTAAAATTTTAATTTACATCAATACATTTTTATATTAAGTACATATATATAAGTATAATTTGTATTTATAATTATAATTGTAAAAAATTACATATTTAAATAATAACTGTTTTTGTTTCCCAAAATGAAGATATTCACAAAATGACTAGATTCAGATTTGTTACATTATAGTTACGTTAATGTTACATTACAGTTGCGTTAATGTAGCATTAAAGTTACGTTAATGTCACATCACAGTTACGTTAATGCTACATTAAATTTACGTTAATGTTCCGGTATTGTTTTTAGAGAAAAATTCTAAAATATTCGTATATTTCTAAAAATGTGTGATATTAATTATTAAATAACTTGTACAAATTTTTGAATTTTTGTCATATTTATAATATTTATCACTCGACTGTTTGCCAGATGATAAATGAATTTTTATTTTAATAAAAATAAATATGTATATATTTTTTAAAAATTAATATTTAATCGGTTCGTCCACCGACGTTTCGTCAATTTCCTTCAGTACATCCTCAGATCTTGCATGCACTTTTTTCTGTCTTATAAATTTGGTTCTTGCAGTTCCAAAATGCAGTCTAAAAATTGAAACACATTGTTACTTATTATAAAAAATATTTTTTTATCATTTTTTGGTATAAACTCTTTCCCTTACATCACGTCCAATTATTATTTCCCTCGTTAAAACTTTTCCCACAAAATCGAAATGTTCAACTTAGAAAATACACGAAAACTTTCTTTAAAGTTCAATTCGACGAAAGTAAGAAAATAATAATAAAATCAAAGATGAAAGTGGCTTTCTTATTACGTACCTACAATTATCAGAAGTTTTGAATTTTAAAAGAAAAATTGGAAAATAAAAGAAAAACTTGAAGGTTTATGTGGAAACTCAAGAACTCATTAAAAAAGGATTTGCGAAAGAATTACACAGGGAAGTTTTCGTATGAGAAATCAATTTTAAACATGATAATAATAGAGAGCTGGTGTAATTGAAAAGCATCATAATGTTTGAAAATTTGGGAGATTATTTAATTTTGTACGATTTTGGCAAATGTTTCATTTATTTTGGATGTTTGGTTCAAAAGTTACAATAAATATAATACATAAATGCATAGACAAAGATTGATGGCTTTTTGATCAAATTTACTCAAATGTTAGTGCGAAGTTCAAATGCGGTTTAGAGTATATCGAGTGGCTGTAGAGGCTTGGGATATTAGAAAATTTTGTAGATAATTTAATTTTGCACAAACTTCCAAAATATTTCATTTATATTGGACAAACGGTTCAAAAGTTACAGGAGATATAATACATCACTGTACATGAACTGTCGTACTCAACACGGCACGCTCTTACATTTAGTCCATTTTCAAATGCGATTTTGGAGTATACCGAGTTGATTTAGGGTTTTGGGATATAAGAAAACATTTTATATAATTCAAGTTTGTACAAAATTGTAAAATATTTCATTTGCCTTAGACAAACGGTTTTAAAGTTACAAGAGATATAATACATAAATGTATATAAACTATCGTACTCAACACGGTACGCTCTTACAATTAGTCTATTTTCCAATGCGATTTTGAAGTATACTGAGTTGATTTATGGTTTTGGGATATTAGAAAACATTTTAAATAAATCAATTTTGCACAAATTTGCAAAATATTTCATTTGCCTTAGAAAAACGGTTTTAAAGTTACAGGAGGTATAATACATAGAAGTACATAAACTGTCGTACTCAACACAGCACGCTCTTACGATTACCCCATTTTCAAATGGGATTTTAAAGTATACTGAGTTGATTTATAGCTTTGGGATATTAGAAAACATTATACAGAATTGAATTTTGTACAAATTTCTAAAATATTTTATTTGCCTTAGACTAACAGTTTTAAAGTTACAGGAGATATAATACATAAATGTACCTAAACTGTCGTACTCAACACGGCACGCTCTTACAATTACCCCATTTTTTAAGTGTGATTTTAACGTACACGGTCTTGTTGTAGGGTTTTCTGATATTAGAAAACATTTTACAGAATTCAATTTTGTGCAAGTTTGTAAAATATTTCATTTGCCTTAGACTAACGGTTCAAAAGTTACAGTAAAAATAATACATTAATACACTAACGTACTCAACACGACACGCTCTTACAATTAGCCGATTTTTAAAAGGGATTTTGAAGTATACTGAGTTGCTGTAGGTCTCTGGAAAACTTGACAGCATTATACATCATTTAATCTTGTACAAATTCGCCTAATATTTTATTAGCATTAGACAAACGGTTCTAAAGTTACAGGAGATATAAATACATAAATGTACATAAACTGTCGTACTCAACTGGCACGCTCTTACAATTAGTCACATTTTCAAATGTGATTTTAAAGTACACCGACTTCCTGTAGGGCTTTGGAATATTAGAAGACATTATACAGAATTCAATTTTGCACAAATTTATAAAATATTTTATTTGCCTTAGACTAACGGTTTTAAAGTTACAGGAGATATAAATACATAAATGTACATAAACTGTCGTACTCAACACGGCACGCTCTTAGAATCAGCCCATTTTCAAATGCGATTTTGAAGTATACTGAGTTGATTTAGAGCTTTGGGATATTAGAAAACATTTTATATAATTCATTTTGGTACAAATTTGCAAAATATTTTGTTAGCATTAGACAAACGGTTCAAAAGTTACAATTTTTTTTTCATTCACATTTTTATTTTTTCTGAATTTCGCCACACTACGCACTTATATCATTTATTTATTTTCAAGTATACCGAGTGCAAATTTCTCGAATATTTCATTCATCTTACACAAAAAGTTCAAAAGTTACAAGTGATATAATAAATAAATATCCCGTCTTAAGATTACCTTTTCCGGTTCTCCTGTCATGTCGACCTACTTTCTTGAAGATAAGTTATCAATGCGATGTTATTATCATCCTTATCGCAGTTGATGTTGATGTTGATGTTGTTGCTTGTTGCTTCTTCACTTATCGGATCGTCTTGTGGCAATTTCTGGAAAAACTGACAAAAAACAGGAACATAATTCAGGAGTTAGAAAAAATTATAAGGTGGTCTTTTATCCTTTACCTCTGCGTCCAAATGATATTCCTTATCGTGTTCAGCAATACTGGTCAAATCATGCTGAACAGTTGAAGAACCTCTGGGGTACCTTCGTCTTTCAGAACCCCTGTAAGCCCTAGTTTTAGCACTCCTACTATTATAAAGACAGACAGAAGTGACATAAGTCCAGAACCTCCAAAGGGCACCACTTTGCACCGGGGTTCCTGCCGATAAAGAATGCCTGGAACCCAAATGTCCTGATCCTTGAGATCTTAGAGACAGGTGCAGGTTGACTTTTTTGGCTATAGCGCTCCTAACCTAAAAAAAAGTACATATACTGTACCGTACTCAACACGGCACGCTCTTACAATTAACCAATTTTTAAATGTGATTTTAAAGTACGCCGGCTTGTTGTTAGTGTTAGAACGAAATATCGAGTACTGAGTAAATATCGATACTTTGCGGTCGATAGTGAGTACTTTTGGTATTGATTTTTTAGCTCGATATATTTGCCAATATCGATCTTTTTCGTCGATAGTACTCAAAAAGAATCGACAGCTTAATCTATAAACTCCACTCATCGACCAACTATGAAAACCAACCATTTTGTCGAATGCAATGCAATAGTCTCTCTAGGTGGTCATAACTGTTCAAAGAAGTGTCAAAAAACGATCCCTCAGTCTCAAAATGTATTGCTCAAAACCCCAAAATGAATATGACCACACTTATAAATAAAGATGTTCATTTATTATTCTTATGTAAAATGAAACTTATTTCAAATAAAAATACTCATCCATTTCAGTATATCAGTATTTTGCGTAAAAAAGAATCGAAATATAATTATTTCAAATATTAATACTCATCCATTTCAGTACATTAGTATTTTGCGTAAATATTGCCACAAGAACCAAATTAATTTATTATTTTCTAAAAGTTTTTTGCCTACGGCTTTCTGAAGTTGCATGCTCGCTAAAATTATTCATATAAAAATATTCAACAATTATAAAATAATATTTTACTTATAAATATTAAAAATATTATTATACTTAAAAATACTTAAATTGCTTTTTGAATACAGTATCAAACTATTATATTGTTTTAATCAAAAATACTCAACTATTATAACTTGTCTATTTTTTGAAAAATTATAGAATTTGAAATTAGTATTGAAAAATTACTGTTAAAATTTCACAATATTGAAAATGATTCTGATTTAACACATCAGATGCAAGCAATAGAATTCATTCTAATATTGTGATACGATATTTAATGAGTTTTAGATCTTTTTTGCATTTATGTTTGATTTTTATGAAAAGTACTCAAAATTCGATATTGAGTACTATCAATACTTTTGCCACGATATTTTTTTGGCATCGATATTTTGATTAGATACTTTTTAAAGTACTTAATATCGATCTTTTGCCTCGATACTTCTAACAATGCATAATTTAATTTTGTACACATTTGTAAAATATTTCATTTGCCTTTGAACTCTTTGGAAATTTGGCTAAATTTGGAAATAAATTATATCTCTTCTTCCGTATTATTGCTGTTATTAATACAAAATTTTAATGTTTCAGGAATCACTTAACATTTATATGATAGTAGGTTTTATAAGTAATATCAAAATAAAAATTTACAGGAGTTACGGAGGACTTTATTATGAATATTTAGTGAAAAATATTAAATTAATCGAAAACTCAAATAAATGTTAATATTATTTACACGTGAAATTATAAATATCAAACAAAAATAAAAAAAAATATTATATCTAAATTGGGAATCGAACCCCGGAGCAAAAATTAGAATTCCACGACGATAGCCACTCGGCCAATCTGCTGTTGATAAGGAAAAACATCGCAAGCTATGCATGCCGCGCGCTGCTACAATGCAAACTTTAATTAATTTTTATAATTAAACCACTTTTCATAGGCCTCTAATATTTTACCACAGTCAGTTTGGGCATCAAATCTACCATTGTGCCAAGTTTTATCAAAATCCGAGACGAGCAACGCGCGAGTTCTCCTTATTAGACAAAAGGTTTCAAAGTTACAGGAGATATAAAATATAAATATACATAAACTATCGTACTCAACACGGCACGCTCTCACAATTAGTGCATTTTCAAATGTGATTTTGAAGTATACTGAGTTGATTGAGGGTTTTGGGATATTAGAATACATTTTATATAATTCAATTTTGCACAAATTTTCCAAATATTACATTTGTCTTAGACAAACGGTTGCAAAATTACAGGAGATATAATACATAAATGTATATAAACTGTCGTACTCAACAGGGCACGCTCTTACAATTAGCCTATTTTCAAACGCGATTTGGATGTATACTGAGTTGCTTTGGGGCTTTGGGGTATTATTACGCTCTTGGGGAAAAAAGTGAAATACTAGGCAAGGGTTGAATTGACAGTTTTTTACCTCTCCATTGAGGAAGCAGTACAGTAGGGCTACTAGGAATCCTTGGAATGAGGTCAGCACGTGTGTGATGTAGGACCAGAGGGCAAATTCTAGTACAGAACCTTCCAAAGGGGAGTCTACCATGTTTAGGAAGTTTGTTATGCCTAAAAGGGGTAGGAGGACGACTGCTGCCCTTACAGCTTTCCTGAAAAGAAAAGAAAACAAGGGACGTAAATTTAGATTTTTTTTTTATATTTTCAATAATTATTACAACTGCTAAATTATTAACATCAAGTAATATTGATAAATAATAACATAAATTTAAGTAAATAAAAGTGCAAAGGATAAAATTTACATGAAAATAATATCCGTAATATGATTTGATATAAAATATAAGCAAATAATAATAAAAATAAAATTAATAAATAATATAAATAAAATTTCTGAATGATAAAATAATACTAGAAAAATAATAAAATATAACAAAATTGCAATAATAGAAATAGTAAGATAATAATAATAACAATAATAATAATAAAAATAATTTATAAATTTATGAGATCGTTTGGAATTTTTAGTTTAGTTTCGTAAATTTAGATAGAACTGGAAATGGAACTGAATTGGGAACTGGATTGATTGATAGGACTAGGACAAAGAACAATATAAATTTTTGATTGGAAAATTAAAGGTACAGGTGACAAACATGGAAGCAGAATTTTGGAAAGTAAAAAGTGAGCAAGGAAATTGAGGCAAATAAAATATGGTTCTATGGTTTTATGGTTC